CGCCAAATCAAAGAAACAGCAGGCCTTCAATTCCGCTGACTTTGATGATGAGCTGCACTAACATTACTAGCCCGCCGCAGGCTGGCACCTCAGTGTCGGTCGTGTCGGCATGCTCTTTCGCTGCCTCCATGGCACAGTGTACAAAAAAGACAAACTAGTCAGGCAGCTCCCAGGCCAGCACCTCAGTGTCGGTCCTGGATGAATACAAAGTGTGCAGATTTTACTTTGGTCACTAAGACGTAGGGTAACGACGTTTCACCTTGTTTCACTGTAGTAGTGGGGAACTGCATGGTACAGTTCATCACCTGCACACCGAGCGCAAGCCAGATGGCTTCTACTTGCCTTTCTGTGTCTTCCTGTGGCCAAGCTGTTCGGGAGCCACCGATGCAAGTTGTGTGTGTGTGTTCGTTGCCCTCCTGCCCGCCGGGGAGGAGTGGTCATCTGCAGTATGCAATCGCCTCCCCAAGAGACTCCTATCAATCACAGGCTGCACTGCCGAATCCAGTTACCGAAAGCTTGGAGCAATCGGGAACATTTCGCGGTGGTTTTCCCAGGTGCCTGTTCAATGCTGCAGAGAAAAGTCTCGACATGAAATAGGCCTGCACGGTTGACTGCGCAATCACGTAAGCGTTGCTTTCGATGCTCTCAAAGTGCAATAGCTCGCACGGCGTTCTGATCTCAGAACGCTTTGATGCACTGAGGAAAGAACGTGGAATGAAGAGAGACAAAACCTCGCGGTCCAGCACTGAGAGGCCGGTGTTTAATTCGTAGCCCCTGTTTCACCTCTTACTTTTTTGGCCTACGTGACCTCTTGAGCTGCATGCCAGGTTGCTGGTGTCTGTGTGGGGTGGCTTTGTTGTTTTTTTGGTTGTTGGTTTTGGGTTTTGTTGGTGGCTCCTTCGCCTTCGCAACCTGGCTCGTAACTCTCCATTCACCAGCGCAAGATGACCTGTGCAACCTCTGCACACATGGCGTCTCCACCCATGCAAAAAAAATGCGACATGTTCTGGTAGATGTTGGCATCCACACCATAGGAGCCTCAGCCACAGAGTCTTGCTTGATTGCTGTTCGTTACAGCACACAAGGTCCATCTCACAGCCAAAGGCATCCAGCTGGTTCGCTGTCGGTGGGTTTTTCATCCAGCGTTGCCCATCTAGCACACTTGAGCGGGGGACACAAATGTCGTTTCCTGCAAGCGTGGTAAGAGTGAGATGGTGGATGATGCCACCTGCCAATCCTCTCCGGGACTCGGTGCGGTTGGCGAGCATCTGCCATGAGTCGGCCAAGCTGGCCCCATGCTTGAAGGAATCCAATGACAACCAGAAATTGTGCATTGCAGTGGGCATCCATGAATCGTTGGTTTTGATCTTTGCACTGTGGAAGCTCCACAAGCACATCGAGAAGCGCTGTGATGACATGTGCCCCTTGACAAGAGACAATGTGGAATACCAGCTCACAGAGTTTGGGAATGAGATCAGAGAGTTCGAAGATTATGAAGAGAGAGTTGATCTCTTACACAGCTACGTTAGGAGAATTCGTCGTGGGTTGATTCTCAACGGATGTTTTACTCAGCATGAAGTACCAGACCTTCAAACAATCGTCGCATATGATATGCTAGGAAAGTTGAACGCAGGAAACTTCTTAGCAAGAAGGAGGTTGGAAGATTTGCAAACAACAGAAGTACAATATTGGGGACACCAAGTGATGTTGAAGGTAGCTAGAGATGGAGCAACACCATTAGAAGGACCATTGAAGAGAATGTTCCAGATAGGAAACAGAGAGATATCAATCAGAGAACAACACATCACAGAGCAGGCAAACCAAATGTGTGGTCGGCTTGAGCAAAGCTAGGGCAAGTTGATGAGAGACGTCGGAACTTCATGGGTAGAGGACTGCAAGAGGCAGCAGAATTGGTAGAGAAGGATATGGAGAAGTATCAAGACTTGTTAGAAAGTGCAGTCATGAGGAGAGTACCCAGACAAACCACATACAGAGGTGTAACCAATCTCTGGGAACCCAGTTCCTTCCAGAAATGCAAAAGACTGTCGAGAAAACAAGAATGGAATGGACAAAATGGGTTATGGTGGCCAAGTGAGCTCAAAGAAGCATCTTAGAGTCCTAGAGTTTCACATCGCCGAGAAGGAACGCGAATTACTGCAGCCCTTTTGAGTACCAAGAAAAAGTGCGTACCTATAGGAGTGTTCTAGAAGAGCGCCGCCCCAAAATGTTGGTCAAAAGTGTGTGTGATGAATGTTATAGTTGAGGACAGCAGGAGTGTCAAACATGGCTTGGTTGTTTGTGTTTACGTACGTGTGTGCATTCGGGTTGGTGGGTTCCATGTTATTTTTCATCCCCCAGCATCCGTGGACTGTAACATGCCATTGCGGTACCTCAACACAATGCAAACATGAACAGCGGCCAAACTTTGTGAAGCAGAAGGACGCAGAGCGTACATACATAATGCTAGGAAAAAAACCTCATGCTGAAATATTCGGAGAACGTGAAAATACATAGAATGATAGCGTGTTGAAAGACAAGGGCAGTGAGAATGCAATACAGAAACCAGTATCACCAAGTCACAAGACTTGAACAGAAAAATTGAAAGTTTTGCTGAAAACGCGAACAGGGTACTCAGCGCGTAAAAAACATAAGAGGAAGACAGAAGACTACAGAAGAGAAACGCTACAGTGAGACCGAAGTGATGAAACAAAGAGTTGTGTTCCAGATGTTGCATTAACATTCGTTCGCATCACTTGTCACTTGCATCACAAACAATTCAATCGGCAAAGTAGACTGGCGCAACTTAACAGCGACTTTGTAGTTGAGGGACTACGATGCAGTACAAAACACCGCTCATTTCCAAACATTGCAAAGAGTAACATCTCCAAATATCCTCGTTGCCAGTCGAGCTTAATCCAACTTGAATTTTAGTTTCGGCAAACTGTGATAAGGCATCACTACGCCAATGGATTTACCCACGAGCAGGAAAACTGATAGGACATTTATGACATGTTGAATTGGCAAAACGCAAACACCGCTGTAGCGAAGCAAACGCGTACAGCATTAAAACAGACAATCATGTGCAGACGCGAACAGAACGATTGAGAGAGACATGCCTCAACGTTAACCAGAAAAGACATGACAGGTAGAACGTTGCATTTGAAGAACAACTGCCGATCAGTCAACGGAGCCGACGAAGTGGACACGCACTGCGTGACGGCTAATCTGACGATTTGTGACTTAAAAAAGAAAACAGAAATGAAACCAATGCGGAGATCAGGTTTGTGCCGTTATTTTTTGATGTGCAGCGAAATGGGATTGTGTGGTGGTCATCTTTTGCATCGTGTGGCGATGGGTCACGTGGTGAAGTGTAGGAGGAGACGATTTGTGTGCTGAACCAAAAGAAAGAGACATTGACATCAGTTGATGTTTTTTTTACATTTCAAATTTTCGACAAATTTGTCTACATTACTTTTCATTCGCACTCAAATCTGTCCAGATTTGGCAAGTTGGCCCAGCCAAGAAGTGTTTGGATGAGCAAGAAAGACATGCAGAAGACACATGACTTGCTGCACCTCTTATGCACTTGCGGTGCTTTCCATCACGGAAGTCAGCCAAGAGGGGCGTTTTGTTACAGTTGTCCCTCCACATTTACTTGCCCAGGGTCCGGGGTATGTCATGATTCAGCACTTGAATTTCACAGCTTTCCCCTTTGAGTAGGCGTTGGAGCGTACGAATCACCGGTAGTTTCGCTTTCATCGGGTAGGCAAATACAAGCCCGGTGAAAGTCTTCTGCTATTTGGCAATTTTGGATCGAGTTTTCCATTTGAACCCGGGAATCCTTGGAACCCTTGCAGTGAGCAGTGGCTGTGTCTTTTTCGTTCCTCGCGCGTGCACAGCGTCAGAGTGAGTATGCTAAAGTGTCTTCATTTGTTAGCAGGTGTTTTGATTCATTTGTCAGGCATCTAGCCCATGTAAGTGGTTCAAAGGCAAGATTGTGCTCCTTGTACTCCTTTCTGTGGTGCTTGTGGCTCGAAGGGCATTGGGCAACGACGAATTTGAGAGTATCCTCACACTGATTGGAATCCTGATTAGACTGAGTCTGAGGGTTTGTTTTGAAAGAAAAACAAATTCGTAAGTTGTGAACCATCGTTTGGATGAGTCCCACCGCCAATCATCGGTGCTTCGAACTCGATGGCGCATGCAGCGCGAAGTGGAGGTCGCGCGGCCGAGACGCGTTCCAAAGTGGGCTTGAACAGGCCCTTGAATCTGTCAAGTAGAGAAAACAAGTAGGGAAGAAATATGTGCAAGACACATTCTTCCTGTTCCAAGTTTTTCGAGCTTGATTTCCGTTTGGGGCTGATCAGCGTGACTGCATACATTCTTTCCTGGTGAGATTTGGATTTGTCAAAAAGAAGAACCTTTGTAGGCACGAGCGGTCTGCGTGTTCCCATGCGAGTTCCTTGCGGACCTCTCTATGACCCGCGCTGCGGACCTCCCTGTGGTTCTTCTTTTCTCTACGACTCGCGCTGGTCCGCGTCGTGCCATCGTCGGTTTCTCGCTTCCACACCTTCTGTTTTTTCCTGGATCTTTCGACCTTGGCAAGAAAAACATGACTCAGCTTCCCTTCCTGCCTTCCTGCGACCCTTTGACCCTTTGAGGCCTGGACCTTTTGTTTGCGCTGCGACCCGGCCTCAGCTTCTTCCTGCGATCCCTCCAAGTTCCACAGTTCCACGTTGCGAGCGTCGTAGTCTCCGCAAAAAAGGAACAACGACTCCGTTGTCTCTGTAGTTCGTTGATCTCTATTCTGATGACTTTTGGCTCTGTCAGCCTGGCATCTTTGTGTGCTCCAAATCTAAAAGTCTTGCTAGTCATTTTCTGCCTAATTCTTGCTTGTTTCGCTTCGTCTAACCCGCGGCTTCGTCTCAACATGTCAGCTTGTCGCCATAGCCTTGTCTTTCACACACTTATCCTACGGTCGAGCGAACCGATTGAAGGTCATGGTTGTCGAGGAGCGGTCCGCGTGTCGAGGAGCATCGCGCGTCGGCTTGTCGGTTTGTTCAGCGTGCGCTTTTGCGGAATGTTGAACGTTCGCTTGGATGGAATCCCTTTTGGATATTGCAAATGTAATCATTGTTTGGTGGTGACACGTTTTTTTTTCAACTGCCAAAGCGAGCGAAGGATGTCCGTTTCCGTGCCCGAAGATCTCCTTACGTCGTGGCGAAGCTGCCCACGATGTCGCTCTAGAGGTGCGTCGATCTTGAAGCACATGTCCAAAATGCAGTGCAAAAGAAAGACATGAAAGAAAAAGGTAGAATTTTAAAGAGAAGAACCGACTGAAGCAAAGAACATGGACAAAAAGGAGCATCTTAAAAGCACGTGGATGGTCTCCTCTCAGATGAGCTGCCGCACCTCACCACAGCTCAGATTTTCGGAGCCTGTGAAGCTCATGCGCCTGCGCCAAGTCTCGATAAGGAGTCCCTCTGCCAGCTCGTTCTGAGCATGGATCCTGGGATCCGTACGATCCAGGGATCCTGGGTGTCGCCTCACGATCCTGGGACACGCGTTCCGGAGCGTCGTCTTGCGACGAGGACCTTCTTCGCATCTTCGTCGGTCGCTGCAGGCGCCGGGCAGTCGAAGTGTGGACGCGACGAAACGCCCGTGATTGGCGTTCTTTTCAACAGGCGTTCTTCGAACTCTCTGTCTTCAGATCGGCGTTTCGTCGAAGAGAAAAGAACATGGGTTGCCAGGCAGATCGCCAGATCGGCGAAGATTGAGGTGGGCAGATATTGCAGGCAACTTGGCAACAGACGCTGCTGTCTCCCAGCATGTAGTTTTTAACTTGAGGCAACTTGGCTGCTGTTTTTTTTGGCTCATGATCTAGCTCATCCAACTGGCACGACAGGTGCTCCAACGGCGGAAGAGATGCATTCAACTGCAGGCCTGACCGTTGTTAAGTTTTCTTAAAGATCCAGGAACCAAATCATTAGTGCGAGCGTGAGCTATCCTGCGTCCATATGTAGTAGCTTCTATTGCTAGTAGCTTACTTCTCCCTTACTTAATTAAGTAGGCAGCCTTCACTTCAATACCTGAGGGCAAAAATAGGCAGACACAAGAGATGTTCCTTTGATGCAAACTCTTGGTGTCTGCTTGGTCAGCGGAGATGAGAGGCAAACATGAGTCAGCCGAGACTGGGCACCAGCTGCAGCTGCATGGGACTCGGCTCCAGTTTCGTCAAATCAGACCCAACAAAGTCAACTTGTAGCACCCAGGTGAGATGAACTTCCAGTCTGTGGCCGACTAAAGTCTCCGTGCCCAACCTGCTTTGACATGCGAAAGTTTTGCTGTTCTAGAGTTCCGGACGCAACGAACCAGATATTAGGAACATGACGACCCAATATCTTCGAGCAGCATCAGCAAGGTACTCTTGGGCCATCACTGCTGCTCAGCTTTGAGAAGCTTTTGAAGCTGTTGAAACCGTGGTGTTGAGTTCGCTGCATCTGTCATACTGCGCTGCCTGAATTCCTGAGGAATGGGGAGTGCATCCAATTCAGCGACCGCAACGGTATTTTTGCGTCTTTGAGTAAGGTTGGGTGTTCCACTTGTTGTTTCGCTTAGAAGTTGACAGCTACCCAAAGCTAGTAGGTTGGAGGCCATCGCTATCAGGTTGATGGCTACTAGGTTGGAGGCCATCGCTTCTAGTGGTCTGCACATTTTGAGGTGTTTGTCGGTCAGGAATCCCCAGTGAGCCATGACCTGAGCCATGACCTGAGCCATCACAACTGCTGTGTGGATGGCATTTGCAGCCAAGGCGTTAGCAAGCGTGTTTGTTGACATGCAACCGCTTCTTTTTTCAGGCGCCGTCATTGAAGGCAAGGCTAGTTTCTGCTTGGCTCAGTTCAGCTGTATAGTGCCTTTAGACCTCTGCTCGTTCTACCTACCTCTTGCAACTAAAGAACTTGTGATGATGCTCCCTTCTAGCATTCTTCTCACTTTGGTATTGGGTGGAGAAGCCTCCTGCTTGTGGGAGTGTGCCGGAGTCTACCATGCCCATGAGGCAGGCATGCTCGTATGGACCTTTGAGAAGAAGGGAACATTGCCCGTTCAATATGCAGATCCTTCCATGAACGTCGCCCTCCGGACGGCGAGCTCTGCCAACGCTGCTGGCATCACAGCCGTGCAAAGCGCTGCAGAAGCTGACCTGAACGCCACCGGCATCACGGCCGTGCAGAATGGAGCAGTCCTAAGCCTGGACACATCTTCAATTTGACACCGATTCTTGGATCACGATCTTTAAGTTTCCTGTTGCAGAAAGCAACGTGGCACTCTTTGCCGCGCACAACCCTTCAACTCGTTCAGCCACCAGCTGTCGAATGTGATCCGCACCGACCAGCTGTTGAAAACATGTCTCCGTCCCACACGGTGCGATCACGATGACCATGACGAGACGACGGGCGCCTCTGACCGGCTTGGAGAGGTGATTGGTGCATCGCTGGTGACCACACTTCCAACCCTTGTTGGCGTTGCTTTACTGGTCCTCTCCTGTTCTCCCAACAGCCCAAATGTCAAGACGATTCTTCACTACTCCAACTCTTTGGCCTCCGGGATTTTGCTGGCAGCAGCGGTGTTCCTCCTCCTGCCTGAGGCCAGTCATATGCTCGCGGTCGGCAAGACGGAGGCCGAAGCGGCGGCAGCCTGGGGTAGCACGGTCATTGCTGGGTGGCTCGTAGGAACCATCTCCCACCTGGCTGGCGATGTGGTCAAGAAGAAGTTCGGTGGGGATGCTGTGGAGGATGTGAAAGCTGTGGAGGGAGCGGAGCAGGCGCCCAAAGTGCCTAAAAGAATGATGTGGGTTCTGGGATTTCCCATCTCTGATGGCTTTGTGCTTGGCCTTTGCTGACAGCTTGTGCTACGATCTTGATCTTCATCGTGGGCGCAGCGTCCATTGGATTGATTCTTCTTGACCACGAGCACTGCACCGCAGGGCATGGCGATGCGCACGGTGACACGCATGGCGACACGCATGGTGGGCACCGATCGTCGACACCAAGGGAGGGGGGCCTGAAGAAATCGCTGTGACGTACTGAAGTAATCGCTGTTTGTGTCCCATGACCTGCAATAGTGAGAGATTATCACGATTTTCGAAAAAGGCCTCTACTGACCATGATCATCCACTGTTACAGGGAATGGGATACACCCAACTGACCTCCAAAACTTGTTTCCCATTTTGACCCTGCCTTCGGTTGTAATGCCCGAGAGGTAGACCTCTGTCGATGGGCCGCCCTCGGGCGACCTCGTTCGTGCGGACGCGATTTGGCACGGCCCACAGGGGTCCTGAAGGGTGGAAGATTCTACGAACCGAGGGCGCTAAGTGCCCTTTTTGGAGGATCAAGATCGATGGGCAGAAGACTCTACAGTTTTTCTGGCCGTCTAGCCAGAGGGTCTGTCCTTTTGAGCAGGAAAAAAGGAACAGATCTCAAGGTGTGGCACTTCAGTCTACGGTCACCCGTTGTCCATTAAAGCGAATGGTGCGTTGCTTGAGCCTTCATGAGACTATGACAGATCTTGAAATTCCTCCACAGTTTGTGTTCTTCCAAGAGGTCAAATAGAACCAAGGTCATGACCTTGCAAGACCGCTGATTCGCTTGACCTTGCAGGACCATGACCTCCATGTCACGTCCGAGTCACAAAAACACATCGGAGTCGCATCGGGCCTACCTTCCAGTTCCAACCTTCGGAGACAGACCTGGCTTGTCTTGGCGAGGTTTGGGTGGCTTCCCTGGCCGGCGCCTAAGGCGCATCGCATGGGATTCGAAGGATTTTCACAGTCGAATTCTGGTGGCAGTCAAGGCCGGGAGAGGGCGCAGAAGACTAGATGAAGTATGCCAGGCCAGGACAAGACGGTTTTCCTTCTTTGGGCAGATGTGGCAGGTAAGGCCTGGCTTTTCCATGGCCGTCCTGCTCGGTCGCCCAGGTGGGTTTCTTGGACTCAGCGCGAAGGGCTCGCACCTTGTGAAGAGCCCCTTAGAAGCTCTGCAGATGGGCCCGATTCTGCGAGGACAAAAGATATCCCACTGTTTCTTTGCACGAAGTATGTCACTTGTCATGCTTGCCGCGGCTGTGTCTATAGAGAGCAGAGAATCTAGGAAAGAACTGTGGTATTCCGTTCAAACTCAAAGTGTCTTGACATCTCATCTCCTCTCGATTTCTTGTCTTGCCTACTGTTGCCTCACGTATCTGACTGCCTTCTTTTTCATCCCCTCTCCCCTAAGCCCCTCTACGTCAGACCTCATGTTGCTTCCTTGTCATTGATAGCGCGGGCATGCGGCCTTGGTTGCTCTTCATGTTGTCTAATTTGTTCTGTTTGTGCAACCTTTGTCCCGTCTCCAATCGTTGCTTCCGCCTCTCTCTTTCTGCCTTTCGCTCTTCGATCTTCCTCTTGGAGATCCTCTCTCTGGATTCGGCAAAAAGGTGTCCAGATCAGAAGCCGAACGAGGTTCTCCAGGACGGCGCTGTCTTTCACGAGTGGATCAGCCAACTGTTTCATGGGTGTCCTTCTCCGATCGCCCACCAGCATCACCATGAAGCAGTGCGCTTCAAAGCAATTGCTCTTGCCTTATGGAGGTCATGCAGACTGGCCTTTGGCATTTGGTGTGGCCAGCATTGAACTCTTTGCGGCGATCGGAAGTAATCTCAAAAATTCGGGCGATAAGCTGCCGATCTCCAGCACTGCAAGGTTGCCGCGAACCACCCATTCGGGATGGAAGGACATTCCCAAATTTTGCCATTCTTGGTTTCTCCAGTGTGTCCAAAGTGGTCAAAACGATATGATAAAGTGTTCTTCTCCCTGCTGAGCTCCACCCGTCTTTGTGATTTTACCAAGAACGGGGCACGGAGCTCCACTAGCTCTGGGGTGCAACATGTGATGCGAAGGCCTCCATTGGCATCAGTGATGGCGGATTCATTGGCCTCCGCGAACTGAAGGGTTCTTTGCAGGCCGGGACGACGGAGGGATGTCTCAACGGGTCGGCTGGACATACCCTATACGCGCTGGCGCACGCTGGACACCTCTTTGGCCGGGGGTGAATAGCTTCCGAAGACGGAAGAAGTGGAGAACGAAAAGGGCAAGTGGATCCAGAAGAGGACATTGCCCTCCTTCTCCTTCAGCGAGTTCCAGAGCAAAGACTAGTGTCTTGGATGCCACCGATCCATAGATCAAAGCCACAGTGGAGATTGTGCAGGCCCAAGTGAACGTCTCAACCACTGTCCAAAACTGTTTGCCTTTCCTTCATTGGCATCAATCCACAAAATTATAATCGCCTGCACATTGTACATCAGATACTGCGTTCCTTCACCAATTCACTGATTCTACCTTTCCCACCTCCTTTCTTATTTTTCTCGCTTTCTTCTGAACACTCCGTGGCCAGTTGATTTTCCTGTGCTTGTGCTGATTCGATAAACAGTTCCATTGGACTGTTCATTTGGAAAAGCAGCATCTTCACAGGCAGGTAGGTTGGCTAGGTCGGCAGATCAAGTTTCGTGCTGTTACGTTGGCCACGACTGGCCTGTTCGCAAGTAGAAACTTCTACGTGTTCTTTCTTTGAAAGAAGGCTCTCCACTCACCTTCTCACACAAAGTAAGTCTTCGACACCAATACGAAAGCCTTGCGTTGTAAAGTCTTCACGGGCAAAAAAGAAACCACGGCGCAGTATCCAGAGACTTCTCGAATCCTGTCCCGTGTCACGCAGTGCCGAGCCCAATATTCCTTGGTTGTTCGACCTCTTCCAGCCCACCTCCTCACTACACTGTTCTTTCTGTTTCAGAATGTGTCTTGTTCTTTCTGTCGTTTCTTTTTTTTTTTGCGCGGGGCGCATGAAGTTTGCTCGTTGGGTGTCTTCGAGTTGTTTCTTGTGCTTGGTACTCAACTCTTGCAACTCTAGCCGAGGCAACATTAGGAATTAGGAGCTTATATATACGCCTATATGGACATATCTTTTCGGGATCTGTCCAACAAGACTTCCCAAGCCAGTCAAGAAGGAGTGCTTGAGCCAGGAATAGGCCATTATAGTCTATTTCCACTACTGATCTGCTGCATGTTTTTCGTTTCTGATCTTCCCCTTCCTGATTGGACCTGTCAATATGCTACTGCAGCTTGTGGCAGCGGGCAGCGCGCTTCGCAGCGGTTCTCGACTCCACTCTCCGACGTTCGCCCCATCGTTCATAGGTTCGATGGACAGAAAGCCCCAACTGCAGGAGCAAGCAGCACAAAAAAGTGACCAATCAATCTGCGCATACGATGAGCACAAGGAATTTCTGCGAAACAAGCGTCTTGATGGAAAAGACAAGTTGATCAAGGATCCATCCAGCATGCAACTTTCAGGAATTAAAAAACCAATTTGTCCGGCTTTTAAGCCTAGTGACATCCTGTGCTTACTTACTTGTGACAGATATTTACATACACCAAATTCGGACGATTTGCAGGGTGAACCAACAAATGTGCAATTCAATCTGGACCCGCTGCCGTTTTTCTACAAGGACAACTCAAAGAGCAAAGTCTCTTTTTGAAGCCAAATGGGGCCCTGAGTGAATCAGAAAGGACCTTGAGGCACCCGTATGCAAGAACCAACCCACCGATTGTTCAATGTCAGCTGAGATTTGCTTCGATACGCCATGATCATTGTTGTGAACGAAGAGTTCAGTCTGCATAAAGGATCCTGGCAATCTCGGAAACAATGTGATAAGTGTGCGATCTTCTGGCTTTTGGTGGCCATGGTGCAGGTCCCATGGGAAGTGGTGGCTCAACGCAGTTCTACCAGCTCACCCCGGCGGAGGCCGCAAAATGGACCAAGTTGCTTGAAAGGGAAAAAGGAAAAGGATAGAGTGTGATGATTGGAGATGCATTGTCAACTAAACTCTGAATCAGTTGCGAGTCATAGGGTTCAGCACCGCTCAAAGACAAATGATGACCACCTGCTCACAGGAGCAGGACTTTGCCGCGCTCAGTGAGGAAGCCTCGTCTCGCTTGTGAGATCTGGATTCCTTCTCTTTCTGATGTTATTTTGCGAAAACTGTTAGGATTGTTCCGATGGCCTTAAGGAGATTGCTTCTGATAGCTTCTACGAGATGCTTATATTGCACGAAATCAGTTTCAGAGTCATTGGTCATTGGTGTGTTTCCCTAAAACCCTTGTTCCCCAAAGAAGCTCTTTTGATATCGCCCAGCGAATGCACTGCTTCCTGGGAAAGACAGCGAACCTGATCAATATCCCTGCAGAGTAAAGGGAGCTCGGCAGCCACGTTTTAAGCGCGGATTTTCTCAGAACCTGCCAGGAAGAACGCCAAAAGATTTCAGCAGCAGTTTCCAGGCTTGAGGCAGGAAAGATATGTTGAACGGAGAGTAACTCACTGGTCCTGCAAGTTGACTCCTTCACGTTTTACATATTCTTCCAGACATTTATGGACTGCCATGACAAAAAAACCGTTGAACATGCATTGCTTGAATACAGCACACGTCCTCCATTCTCAATAAAGAGAATAGGTGTGTGGCAGCGTAATCGAGTTTACTCCAAACAATTTAGACATTTTAGTTATGGGGTTTGCAATTTGCACACGTGATATTGTAATAGATCTTTGGTAGGTGAAACTTCCAAAACCGTTTTCTTCATTCACTTGGCAGGCAGAGAGAGATCAGGCATCTGGCTGCCGGGCGCTGAGACGATAGATTGCATCGCAGCAATGTCGGTTTGTAGGGCATGCCTCAACTCAGCTTCTTTGCTGCCTGATTTGAGGCCAAAGTATCATCAATGCGGCTGGGGCTGGATCACTTCCGATTGTCCAACGCTTCCTCCAACAGGACCCAGCGGCTGTGGAAAGTGCGGATGAGCGTGGCCATTGTCTTAGCGGTTCTCACGTGTTTCTTGAAGACCAACTCCGGCTCATAGACTTATTGCGACACAGTTGCATGCAGACATCTCACTCTCAGCATTTGTTTCACAAAAACAGTTTACATGATTTTACATGTACATCTCCCTTTGTGTGCTTTTTTCCGTGCTTCGAGTGCTTGTTTGGGATGCTGATTCTGTCGATGACCATGAATCGCGCTTTGCCGGTCTTCTTGCTTTCTTGGCAGAGCCAACTTGGCATTGCCAAGGCCGGACGGCCTTGCACGTTGCGGCATTAAATTGTCATGCCAACGTCGTGAAGGATCTTCTGGCTGCCAGGGCTGTGCAAGCAGTCGATTGCCATGGTGAAAGCCTGAAAAGTCACACCAACACATGCCAAGAAGCTCTTTTGGAGACCAGAAGAAGAGATGTAAATGTGAGAGTAAAGCTGCATAATTCAAGGGCACAAGGAGGACTTTGAGGGAGCAGAGAGTTGCTTTCAGTGTGGCTGATTGAGGTAGTTGTGTGAACTGCTTGCAAAGCCACCTGGTCTTTTTGTTCTGCCCATGTCAGTTGGATGGGCCGAGGTGATACACCTTTGCATCACGCGGCCTTAAGCAGCAGCTTGGAGGTGGTGCAGCAACTGCTTGGTGCTCGTGCAGATGTGGAGGCTAGAAACAACAATGGCTCCGGCCTCATATTCCTTGTTGTGTGGCTGTGTGATTTAGATGGTGTAGGTCCTCAACACAAACGGGAACCACAACTACAAGCACGTGGGAAGAAACTAAGTTTCAGATGTCACATAAACTGCGTTGTGGTGTTATGGTTAGCTTGGACTTGGCTCTGATCAATCTCCAAGGTCGAACTGCACTGGACTTTGCCCAGATGAAAGGCTGCGAGGAAGTGATGTCCTTGCTCAGCTCCGCCACTTGGTGCTGATTGGAAGTTGTTCAACGCGTCCTTGGAAGATTGTGCGACCTTTGCTCACATGGAACAGCTATGAACACCTAGTTCCGTTGCCTCAGTGGTGTTTCGTGTTGCTTTCTTGCATCGTCTACCGTTTAACTTGTACCCAGTCGTACCCACTCAAAAAAGGTTCACATGCACAGCTCCGAGGCACCTCACCACATTGTCTTGTAACACTTTGTGAGCTCACACACTTCATGACCTTTGGATTCTGAAGGGTTCACACCGAGATGGGATGCGGGGATTTTTCCACCTGACATCTTCCACGTTGCATCCACTTGTCCCCATCCTAGCTGGGAGCTGAGTGTACGAGACTGGCCCCGCTCACAGTGGTTTGGCGTACCCTATGAGATGTCCCTGACATGTCGTGAAGGGAGTTGCAGGGTAGGCATTCCAGCAACTTGACAAGCTGATGCGTGGTGTGACCGTGGTGGCTTTCGCGTCTGACATGAGTGGACCTTATACTTATGCTGCTTTTCGATGACAAGGCCATGTTGCGTCGAAGCCTGGCCCTGTGAACCCCTTGCTTCAGGCAGTGTGTGGTGCATATTTGCATATCGGTGATGCTATTCACTTGCGAGGTTTTTTGCGCGTCCCTATTCTTCCAGCCTAAAGTGAACATGAAAGAAGGTTCACTTTGTAAACCGGGCTCGGGCATTTGGCTGCTCAAGGCTTGGCCATCCATACTCTTGAAAGAAAAGCTGGCTGCTGAAAGAAAAGCTTGCGGTCACCCATACTCTTTGAAGCATGCAAAAACCAGGCGATCGGCAAATTGGAATGTATGTTCCTTCGCAAAGTTGCAAGATTCATTGCAACCATGTAACAGGAAGTTAACAAACTTCAGTGACAAGTTGATGTGGTTGCGCTTTGTGTTTTGGGCGTGCCGCATCATTTGATCGCACACTTAGGATTTTGGTAATTGGTTGGCTTGCTTTCCGGTCAGATACTCCACCACCTTCAGAAAGCCTTGGTTTTTGGAAATACAAGCATGAGAAGGAAGCATTGCTTTTTGTTTGCCATTCAGTGTCACTGATGCTTTCACAATCCGAACCAACAGTTTCTGGACCTCTAGCTTTGAAGGCAATGTGCCGTGAACCTTGCGCAAACTCATGTCTGCTGCCGCGTCCATTGGCCGGACTTTAACACTCTGCTCTTGAGAAAACAAATCAGGTATGATTTGATGATCTCAACCACATTTCGGGTCAGCACAATTCACATTGAGTGCGTGTGCATAGGTCCGATTAACAAAGCCTTCCGTCGCCCACACCGTCCCAGGTCTCAACACCGTCCCAGGTCTTGTAGAGGGAAAGGGCTGTAATGAGTTTGAACACCAAGAAGCGCAACTTTTGTCTGGCTAGTGTAATCGTGGCTTGCTTTTTGCAAGGTCCCGTATTTTGCGGTTCAATCAGTCCATTATCAGTTTACTGCAGCTTTCCTTTCAAGTCTTCCCTGATGCTTTCAATGCCAGTTCCTTTTCATACCATTCTGAAGACTTCCTTGCACCCGAAGTGAGGCTTCACCACAAGCGTCGCTGGAGGCCGACCCGGCTTGGTTTTGACTTTTCCCCAGTGTTTCTATTTGTGAAAATGTTATGCGTCAAAGCAGTTGCGCAGGACATCCAGACGCTTCATTTTACTTTGAAGGAGAGGCCTGCCATTTTGAATGCGCACAACGTCCACAAAGACCCTAGCTACCTTGGTCGCATCTTGGAGAACGCTAAGGTATGCTGGGTCTCCTTTCCAGGCAAATATTTGACTGGCTGGATCGCATTGATCAGCGAACGACACTGGGATTCTGTCGCTTGCGTTTTTCTTGATGATCCGGACCATGGTCTTGGGAGGCACCACTTCCTCGATGACAACAAGACAGAATGCTACTGTGCCCTCATTTATGGGCAAAAAGATTACAAGGAATTTGGATACTTGATGGTGGTGGAGGGCAACAAGACGGAGGAGGAGAAACATCTCTTGCGGAAAAGGGCACGGGCTATGAATGCTCACATTGTGTTTGGGAAACCTACAGTTGAAGATGAGCGGAAGGCCCAAGAGCTATGGGAGAAGCATGGGAAGAGAGCAGCTTGGGGCTGCTGTTGGTTCCATATTTGGATTCAGCGAGTTGAAGAAGCTGTCAAAAGAGGACAACGCTTGCGAGTAGTTTTTTTCCCAGGAGAGGCAGGGATGGGAAAGGTACATTGGAAGAAGTTGCCAACATCCAATCTCTGGGACGGCAATGGCTTAGGAGGGTCCCAGAAGGCTGAAGTTGCCTATTTGGACAAGATGAGGCGAGAAAATCCCGCATTTGACTACGATGAGGTAGATGTCACCAGGTTCCTCTCCAGTCAGTTCCAAGTAGGCGACTACGTTGATGCCTTGGATCCGCATGGCCAGAGCAACAGCTACTCCATGGCCAAGATCCTTCAGACACCCAATCCTACAGAAACCGACGATACTGAAATGAAATGGCTGGTGGAAAGCAAAGACACTGGCATCACCTTTCATGCCAAGTGCGTGAGGCATGCTGCACATGCTTTGGAGGAGCTTCACCAATTCCTTGGGACTGATTTTCTCAAGAAGATCTTCGAAGATGCTTTGAAAATGAATGTCAAATCAATCAAAGCTGCAAGGCTTCCGTCTGGCAAGCCATCACTAGCCGTTCAAACTGATGTCACGACAATTCAATCGGCACAAGACCTGAGGGACAGGGTCCTCAGCTACGACTTGGACATCCTTCTCAACCGAACATTGGCAGAGCGATGTCAAGGTGATGTGGAGCTGGCAGTTGACCAGACCGTGTTCTTTGATCAGTATGCCAAAAGTCTTTTGACACTATCAGAATTGACTAACCACCAAAAGCAGAAGTTAGATGAGCTGCTCAACCATGACGGGGGTTTGCAGGATATCCATTTGTCTGCCCCTGCTGGATCGGGGAAGACCTTCTTGGCTGTGCACTATTTGCTGACGAAGATCAAATTAGATGATCAACGACAGGTTTTGTATATTGCGCCCTCGCGTCCGCTCATTCTGCACTTCATACGATGGGTCATCATGAATGCTGCATCCCAGCTGCCCTCAACATCACCAGAGGACTTGCTGAAGAGATTCGCCTTCATGCATCGACCGTATGAATGGCACATGACTGCGAGTCTACAAGGCTCCCGCATAGTTCTGAAGGAAATGAGGGCTCAGCCCAAAGATGCATTTCTTCTCGCAATTTTTGATGAGGCACACGAGATGTTCAAATGGAACAGTGAGTTGTTCGAGAAGGTAAACGCTGTGCAAAAGATGCTTCTGTCCGACATTTCACAGTCTTCCTTCTTGCATCACAAGTTCCCTCATATGTTTCAATCCAGTCTCAGCGAAATAGTGAGAAGCACCAAGAGAATTATGCACGGTGCAAGTGCCTTCCGACTTCACAAGAATGATTTGATCAGCTGCATTGGCACCACTGGACCCCCTCTGAAGACGTTTCTTTTTGAGATGTCAAGTGGCAACAAAGATGAAGAGTACCAGGCGTACGCCAAGCAGACCTTAGATGCATTGTGGCACACCATGAAAACATACCCAAGTCTTCGTGGAAATCATATCGCACTGCTGGTGCCGGACAGGAGGTTCCGAGAAGAATTCAAACATCATTTGTCCAGGCATCTGGAAGCAGAGTTTGCTCCCGCTCGAACGTTTTCCCTGGTCTCGTTCGAAGACACTCTCGAGTTCATTCCTACAGCTTTTCAAGGAGACTGTGGAGAGGACACTCTCATTCTGGATTGGGACGAAAATGCGAAAGGCCTTGAACACTTGGTGGTGCTGTGTATCGGGCTGGACGCAGAAATCGATTCTACCACGGACAATCTGACACGGTCTCGGCTCTACCATGCAATAACACGTGCCCAGCTGCAAGTGCTTGTAGTGAACAGGTTACTCCATGGTGGGTGGCTTGAGTTCTTGGCCACCTTGAAGCTGAAGTCTGAAATCTTCGAGGATTCAGGTGCACAGTCGGAGATCCGAATGGATGCAGCTTCGAGAGTTGTAGCCGCTGGGCTAGCAAGTTGGCTCAAAAATCATGAGAACAGGAGCAAAACATGTTTATATACATATCTTATCTTCACCAATTGTCGTCATCAGAACATTTTCTTCACGGTTTTGCTTTGTTTTTGTGGACACAGAAGCGACTTGATGTGCAAATATTTGGGCATAAAGAGGCACTTGCTGGTGGAGTTAGCCGCAAGGGGATCAAACTGATCAAATCAAATTGCCAAGGAACTTGCCGGACGAACTGAGCATGGTCCACAAGTGGAAGGTCCCCACAAGGCACATGGATGTTCCCGGATGTCAAGACTAAGATGGTGAAGTTGCTGACATACAAGAAGATGCCAACTAAATGACGTGTTGTAAACATGAAGTTGGAACTGTTTTCTTGTATCCTTGTTTCAGGTTTCTACTGGGATTTCAACACCAATCACAGCTGACAAGGACCACACTGGGTGCACGCCCTTCTGTGCTTTGTGGCCAGCTTCCCGACACCACCATCCAAGATCAGATCTTGTAAGTAAAGTTAACTGTATAAGTGGGGTCAAAAGCACGGAAGAGTCTCATGTTGCCACCTTGCCCGGCGCAACAAACGCTCCTTCGGTCTCATGTTCCTTTCAAGGGATGGATGGGACGGGTCGAGAGTCGAGTGGTCCGAAAGGCTCCTAGTAGCGAACATGCTCCTAGTAGTAAGAATGCTACCAGTTAGTAGCGATGCCAGGAGCCCCGAACGTAGCGTCCTTGCTCCTAGTAGCGATGCCCGTTGCTCCTAGTAGCAAATAGTCGAGAAGTGCTTTTGAGGCAAATGAAAGTTCTTGCGCAAACATGTGTATGCGCTCATATTCCTGCTGCTCTCCAGGATGATTCAGCCATGTCCAGTGCTGCCGTCAAGGACTTTTCATTTTGTGACCGTCCGTGCAGGGTTTTGTTCGCCAAGTTCACTGTTGGCGAACCGTTTTTTTAGATGGATGTGGGGAGCTGAAGCTCCCATCTGCTTCTTGTGTGTGCCTCAACACGTGGGGCAAAACGCGGAGAGTGGCTACGCCGGCTGCGAAGCAGATTCTCATGTGAACGCTCACAACTGCTGTAGCTTCGTCCCCTCGCTCGAGGGAACGCCGGGTCTTTGGTGAGACGTGCTGGAGCCTTCCCAGAGTCTAGACAGTGCTAGGTGACTGATGAGACCCTTACATTCTGCGGGATGTTTGAGGGACGTGCGCTCCAAGTAAGGTATTTTGTCCTTGTTGGAACATGCAACTTGTTTGGTTCTCACCCCAAGAACTTGCAAAGACTCCAACCATTGATGACAAGACATAGAAGGCTGTCATAGAATGGGTTCTCCGATATCACGATATCTTGGTGAACGAGCATCACTGCGAGGAAGGTGCTGACGTAGCAAGCCGCAGAGATGCTGCTCAGGACTTCGGTTCTGCAAGCTTCCTTTACTCATTGGTGTTTATTTTGGGAAAGGCATGAGCTTTCCCATGTATACACGTCTACAAGAGGCCACCGGACAGACTTCACTGGTTCGCCTAGATACAACGAGCCTGTTGCCCCTGATTTTCTCAACCTTGAGCAGCCATTCCACACGGTTGCAAATGTTTGAATAGCTCGGAGAGACTTCAACAAATGAAAGCATGTGCAGTGGAAGATCAGTCATCAGAATGCAGTCATGAGATTGGCTGTAGAAATCGCTGAAGAACAGATGAACCCTGAGTCCATGTCCAACATCAGGATTCCTTTCCACTTAGCCTTGTGGACATTTTGCCAAGGCCGCTACTTTTATGGTACAGACAACACAGACTCATAAGCCTTTGAGAAGTGTGGGCATGCGTGGAATGTCCTGAATCCTTGCTGCCAGGAGCAAACCGTTGAAGTTCGCGACACCTTTGTTTGGGATACCAACTCTAACACGATTTCTTCCCCTATCCGGAAGCTCCAGTTTGATCCTCGAACTGCCGAGCAGGCAGGGTGCCGCTGTATATAAAATATTCAAAGTTGCCTGATGTGCATTGCGTTAGGCAGATCGGATGAGA